GAACTACGGTGAAAAGACATTAGTTTGCACTTAGAATGGTTCAAGAAAAGTGGTTATTCGAACACCAAATGCTAAATTCATCCAAATCAAGTTGTAGGCGAGTATGCAAGTGATCGATATATAAAAAAATCATGTTGCGACGGGGATATTATACTAGAACATGCGTGTTGCAGTTGACGAGTCACAAGGTGCTCGAGCAGTTTTGGAATGACAGATAGTTTTGCAATATTTTCGAAACCAGCTCGGAACTTTATCTGGACCCGCAGAGAAACCGATGTCAATTGATGATTGTACTTTATTTAAGGAATTGAATGGATTATGTTGTTAGCAAGAGGTATATAGTATGGATAAGGGAACTCATAAGTATCCGATGAGTAAGAAAGTCGGTTGAAAGAAGGTGGAAAAAAAATCTGCAATACCCAGAGCTGGAGTTTTTGTCTTATCCTGGAAATGAAGGGAAGAAGGGAACGCGTTTTGAGTTGACGAATGAAAATAAATGTTTGGGATCATTGCGGAAATTTGTACCACATTTATAGAAACAAGGTTATAACATTTCTTATTGACCGTAAGAAATTGAGAGCGAAACGAAGAATATTGAGCTAAGACAAACAAAGAACCAGTTATCTGGTACTTTTTGTAGAGGTGGGATTTTTTATTTTTTAGGTAAGACAGATACTTGGAAAGCCAGAGAGATTTAGAGGAAACATATTCAGTGACTTCAGGGACTTCAGGGGCAGAGTATAATGTTTCGTAAAACAAATTGACAGTAGGCTCTTTATTTGATGAGGACTGAAGAAACGACCAACTAACTTGCGAGAGATGTAGACGAGATCGATCAAATTAGTTTTGCGAAAACACTTTATATGACCTTTTGAAGGTAAAATGGTGTATACCACTCCTACCGACTCCTATAGATAAAATAGAATGATGCGGATCTTCAGGAAAAGATATCGGATTGCCTCTTACAACCGTTGCATATTATTTCTGACAGAGTTAATTTGGGCAAGCGAGACGTCAGTTACCCCCTCGACGAAATCATGTTGACTTCCAGTTGTTGGCAAGAAAGAGATGGCATGTTGAAGTCACCCATAACTAAGATCTGATCAGCACAACCTAAAGCAGAAACTACAGAATGAATTGGAGAACGGTGGTTCAAATAAACAACAAGATCAGATCTGGGAGAATATAAGAACAGGTCAAAAAGATAAACGCCGTTCCAATACGGATTTTGACTGCAACGAATTCAATACCATGGATGTTTTTAAATGGAAACAGCTAGGACGCAAATGTTGTTTTCACTGCAATACGAACCCCACCAGCAAATTATTCACGATCCATTCTATGGGTAGTGAACTTGTGGACGGAAATTTCATGAAAGGAGACTAAGGAGTTAAGCCAGTTTTCAGTTATAGCGATAGAGTAGAATTCAATGGAGGCATTGTCCGTACGTATTCTAGAAAATGTACCTAACCACTGAGAACCTTCTGATATTACATGGACAAATGGTTCCTTAGTTTCTTGAAATCTTAGGGAGTGTAACTCAAGTATTCTCGAGGCAGAAATTCATGCATAATAGAAATAATAGAAATTCATGAACACAGTTCCAAAGCTTTAGATACAGGAGAATCGGGAAGAAGAACTTTGAATTCAATTTGATATCTGAATCTCATTTTCGTAAGTATGTACATCTACTTTAGCTTTGGGGCGAGCTAAAGGAGCGAATAGGAGGGAGAAGTGAATTAGATGTAGATGAGAAATGAAGACAACATTTAAAATTTGACAAAAAAAACCGCTAAGGTACAGATGTAGTACTGAATGTCGGATATTAAAGTTGGGACGCGTAAGAAGCGTCTCACTCGTCCCTTCTCGTTTCATTTTAACATTGCCTGCGTCGCATTATGTTGGGCTACATGCCTCTAACTTTTTATTGTGGTCGCGCGATATTAACAAACATCTGGAGGAGCGCAGACCAAGGATTGAAACGCGAAAAAAAACCAACATGAAGTGGCTCTAAGCGTGTGCGGAGCGGAAATAAAAGAAATATAATATTATGATTGCAGTGGATGCTGATACAGCTCCTGCTTCTGCTGCGGAAGAATGGCGTTTAGCATATTGCGCAGGGGCCATGAATGCGAATTCGCTGTATCTTTGGACAAGGATCGACTGGTCCAGATTGCCAGATGGCTCGCTGGCTATTCTGGGTCTAACTGGGCTCAGCGACGCTATGGCGATACTGAATTTTTCTGGGGCTTCTTGCAAAGGAAGTAAATGACTTTTGGCTGGAAAATTCTGCAAGGAAAATTAAAAAAAAAAACGAGAAGGGACTTGTGAGACGCTTCTTACGCCTCACAACTTTTATACCCGGCACTCAGTACTACTTCTGCACCTTAGCGGTGTTTTGTCAAATTTAACATTTTTTCATCATCTGTCATCTACATCTACAACACTTCTCACACCAATACGCTCCTTTAGCTCGCCCCCCTTCCCTAGACCCACACACTGCAGACTCGCGGCAGAGGCAGCGAAAGAGGGCGCATACTGTAGAAGCAGAATATGAATGAGAGAATGTGAAAAAAAACAAATATAAACGGGGTGGGTTTAGCCACTGAAAATTAATTTCTTCATTCTGGCTATAATAATGATCCACTCGGATCCCAATTTGGTGATTTGATAGATATGATCATTCCCTACAGAATAGCGTTAGATTTAATTTATCGTCAAAATTGTAGATTTGGGTGGTTTTCGCCCTTTTGCGAGGGCGGGGCTCATTTTTTAAATACACTTGTAACAGTGTGAGCATACAGAAGTCTGGATGCAAAATTTGGTGGCTCTAGTTTTATGGTCTCTGATATCCAGGCGCTCAGCAAGACAGACGGAATAACGTACAGACTGACGGCCAGACAGACATGGCTCAATCGACTCAGCTATTGATGCTGATCAAGAATATATATACCTTGTAGGGTCGAAATCGTTTCCTTCTGTGTGTTACATACATTCACTTTGTGCACAAATACAATATACCCTATTTACTCTACCGGGTATTAAAAGGTATTCAAAATGTAAATTATGATAGCACATCCTTTAAAACATTTTAGAACTTTATAGAAATATATTTGATTGACTGATTGAATGATAGTTTGGTTAAAAGTAATTTGATTGGAATCGCTCCAAATTACAATTGAATTTCGCTTAGTACTTGTTTAACTAAGCAATAAATTGGATAATTTTTGTTTAAATTTAATAGTTTCATCTTTTAGTCAGTTTTTGTCAATACTCTTTAAATTACAACATTTTATTGCGTGTGCTTCACGATTGTTGTTGGTCCAGACCTCCAGCAGCGCTGCATGAGTGCACTCATAAGCATCTGCAAAATTTAATATTTTCCGAAAAGGGGCAAAAACGGGCAAGAAAAATTAACACCACGTGATTCTATAATATTTGGTTAATAACGTGTAACTTGAACTTCTGTGCAGTGGTGTGCTTTGCAAAAGTAATATTCCACAAAAAACACTTACAATTGTTAGTACCAAGCTTAAAAGACACACGAACAAAAAATTGGACAATTAAATAACTACACACAACTATACAAAAACAAGTATTAACATAAAAATTAAGTTCAATGCCCCGACCTCCTCTTTCCTTATTTTTACTTGCATAAAAACTTTGTAATCGAGCTACAATTACAGCTGCAAGTTGCTCAATTTTCCCGCACTTTTTCACAAGTCAAAGCATCTCAAAATCAGCCCACTTTGAAAGCGCGCAAAAAACATATGGTACTAGGTAAAAATCTGCTAAAACCAGTTTTGATCTATCTGGATATTTAGGAATCAGAAAAGTTAAGTCGCATTCAAATATTTTAAACAAAAAAAAATACATAAATGCCAATAATGGGTCGGAATCGTTTCCTTCCTTCCTACATGCATCCACTTTTGTGCACAACTACAATATACCCTATTTACTCATCGAGTACCGGGTATAACAATCGGTTTGGTCCCTTGCTGAACAAAAAATTTCGATTTTGTCGAGAAGTTTTATTTGTGACTGTACAATGGGGACTCATGGCAAACATCTGCACTGGAAGGTTGTCACTCTTCTCATTCAATGTTACCCGCTTTTTCGCCAATAAACTGACGTTAGCGTTCAAAAGCCATCTATAAAATGCATTATTTAGCACATACTCTTACAACTGGTAAATTTCATTAAGCGTAGAAGAAATTATTATTTAGGTTTTTCACAGAAGAACCCCATTGGAACATCAAAATAGCTTTAAAAGTGTAATTTTCCATGATTTGAGTTTCAGTCTGCCTTGCTTACATGGAAATACATTAAAATGTAAGCGCTCGTCAGCTGGCTCGATGAGTCACAATTTAACTGTTTTCCATACCATAACTATACTCGTACTAATTTTTGGATGCCTCCGACAACAAAAGTCCATCGTCCGAGTCCGAGTCTGTGAACACTCTGTGCCCTCTGATCACCACCAATTGACTAATGCTAAGCATTTAAGCAATACAAGGCGTCGAACAGTGTAGCGTGCAGGTGTGGGATAGATGTATTTTTACCCAAACTAGTACAAAGAGATTTCGCGTGCACCTCTAGCTATGCTCTAGCTAAGCTCGTCGGATTGTCGGGGTTCGTTCTACTCTCTCCTATATTATGTACTGACACACACTCGCATAATGTTTTAGGTTCACATTTAAAAAGAATCAAATAAACTGGACTGAATGTAGGGAAAGCGGATTAATTATTTGTTGTTGAGAAAAAGGGGGATGATGATATCAACTACTCTATTCAAGTCACGGGAAACTCAGGTGTCGTCGAGAATCCCTCTTCTCTACCCTCCAAACCTATGCTATACTGGTAAATCGAACCGTATAGACCCTAGAACAATCAGGCAGTTTTCATTCTACCACTTTAATACCCTTACTCCTTTCGTAATCGTTGAGCTCAATGATGACGTAGGTGCTGGTTTCTGGGGAAAAATAGAAGGTATTAAAAAATATGCACTCGAACGTACCTGCAAGTACGATTTCAATTTATTATTTCATACCCAATCTTTTCTACAAACACTCATATTCCCGATGCTTGAATATACATATACATAACTGCCAGAGAATTGGCTTTAAAATGGCATATCGAACTTAATCCCAGAAAATGTGCAAAGTAACACAGCATAACTCCGGACATCTGTCTTGCTGTTGGCGGTGGCTCCTCTGTAGTCAGGTCCGTCAAAATAAATGTTCTAGCTCTGGACACTGGGCTAAAATGTGGAACATCCGGCTTGATGTCGATCTGCCGCTTACATAAGCACTAAAGTGCGCGACAAACTGGTGGTCTCAGTGGAGCTGGTGAAAGGTTCCGAGGCGCCGCCTTACGCGCTGGGCTTCCGAAGGGTTGCTACGCCTCACTAAAGTTGACCCAAGTCAGAGGTTTTCGATGCTCGATTGTGTCAGAAGAGGGGGTTCGAAGGGTACCCCTTTTAGATTGGGGGACCACTTCGGCTATACGCCTCTCGTATGTGCACTTAGGCTGCCAAGAAAGATAGGGCTCCTGACCTCTGTTCTATAAACTTAATTCGCATAAATTATACTGGTCACTTTCCTAGCTCACGGCAGACATACCTTGGTTGATTATTGTTTTCACTAGGCACTAGCACAGATCAACACAGATTCCTCTGAATTTATGGATTGCAAGAAAACTTCGACACGAGGGATTATGTAAGTTTTGTGTAGGTTATGTCTACGTACTTGCCACAATCACGTCTGGTTTTGTCGATCGACTCTTTGCTAATAACTCTAGTAAAACTCATCCCAGTGAAGCTAGGCTGTACCGAACATAAAGCTCGAAGATCTGATGACGTTTAAGAGCTTTAACGGGACAATCGTATGATCTTTCGCTGCATTGAGTGGAATTTCGGTAAAACGTCAAGGGCAAATTTTATGCTCTGGATACCTTTCTCTCTTTTTTAAAATAAGCGCACGCTCTCGCTTGCATGTGCTAACACTGCAGCGACTCTCTTTCGTAAGCTCGGCGTAAAGCTTGCGCTTACGATCCACTTTCGGAGTTCTCTTTCGGAATGCACTATTAAGCTCTACTGAACATGCAATTATGTTTATCAGTGATGCTCTATGCTATCTCCCTACTTTCGGCACCTACAACATAGTTGAAGACGTAAGTGTTCTTACAGTGAGACTTCAACCGAAGAAGGCGATCTCTTATGGTTTAAACTGAATATCTTTTAGATGATAGACTCCTAAGTTTTTCTTATCTATACGGTAATACGTGGTCCCAACTCGACGAATAACCTTGGCTGGTATAAACACGGGTGCCAACTTAGCGCTGAACTTTTTTATAGCATTACTTTGACAAAAATTCCGGGCATACACGTCGTCTCCAATGTTGAGCTGACGGACACGGCTTCTCAAATTATATTTCTCTGCATTCTGTTCGTGAGATTCCGCTACCTTTTTCTGAGCGGCCTGCCGACACACTTGTATTGCATCTGAATAATGGACTCTAGTGTCCTCCTTCAGGAGATGTAGACGTCTAAGCAGTTCATAATCCTTTCAGTTAAGAATCATATTTTGCCACAACGCCAGAAAGTATTTCGAATATCCGGTGCTTCGATGGATATTGGCCCGTAGTGCCGCGCTAATTTCAGGTAACTTGCTGTCCCAATTACCATGGTCCTTGCCGACGTACGCTCTAATGGCCGCTAACACAGATCGGTTTAACCGTTCACTGGTATTGGCTTGTGGTGAGTATATTGCCGTGCATCGGTGAGTTACCGCGAATCGGGTAAGAAACGACTTGAAATTTCCTGAGACAAATTGCGACCCATTGTCGGTGAGTATAGTCTCAGGCACCCCGAAGGTACAAAACAGCATATTTTCCAGAGACTCACACACCTTTCTGGGGGTAAACTTCTTGAGTGGACATAAGAAATGAAATTTGGTGTTGTGGTCCACGATTATCAACATTTCAATATTACCTTGTTTGGATCGAGGGTATGGCCCCAGTAAATCCAGATAAAGCTTTTGAAAAGGCCGTTCGGAAACCATTGGCTTCCCCATAGGAGGTCTTAATACGACATTGGCGCTTTTGGTCTGATGACAAACGTCACATTTTGACACATAGGCTCGTATTTGTGTTACCATCTTTGGCCAAAACAGGTACCTTTTCACTTTTTCGATTGTCTTACCAATACCGCTATGTGAAACGTTGAGGAACCCAAAGCTTCCACGATTCCGTATCTGCTAAGGCGTCACCCGAAGATGGTTCGGTTCTTTTATATACCAAATTATCTTCGATTTTCAAATCGGGCAACTTAAGTTGGTTTAACCTTACATTTTCCATTAGATCCATGTACTCTTTCGACTTAAACTCAATAGAAGCGAGGTCTACTATGGGTCCATTGGCATTTAGTTCTCTAATTTGAAATTTGAAAATTAAACCCCTGTAATTTTATAGCCCATCGAGCCAAGCGACCTGACAAATCTTTTTGCCTCATAAGCCATTGAAGCGATGCGTGATCTGTTATGACTTGAAATTCCTGTCATTCGACATAGGCTCTAAACTTTGTTATTCCTTTGATCACAGCCAAGCACTCGAGTTCGGTAACAGAATAGTTTCGTTGTGCGTTTTTCGGACAAAAACGCTATAGGTAACTCTATCCCTTCCTCATTTAATTGGGCTAATACGCAGCATAGACCAAAGGTGCTTGCATCACATACCAATAAAAATGGTTTTTCTAAATCAGGAGTGGCTAAGATTGGAGCAGATGTCAAACAGGACTTAAGTTTATTGAAAGAGACATCCGCTAAAGCGTTCCAGCTAAGCGTATGATTCTTTTTCAGTAGTTCGGTTAAAGGAAAGCTGACGGTGGCATAGTTATCGACAAAACGTCGGTACCATCCCGGCATTCCATGGAATCTTCGTAGCTGTTTTACAGTTTTAGGAATAGGGAACTCAATTATAGATCTAATTTTACCCGGGTTCGTTTTTAACTGACCGTAACCAATTATGAATCCCAAGTATTTTATCTCCCGTATACAAAAGTTGGACTTGGCTATATTGACTGTAAGGTTTGCCTTACGCAAATGCATCGCTACCTCTAACAACAGCAACATGTGCGAATTGAAGTCATCGGAGAGTACTAGTAAATCGTCCAAAAAGACGAATACCCGATTCCGTAGATGGGCAGGTATCACCTGGTCCATAAGTCGGCGTAAGGTCTGAGAGGCGTTGGTTAATCCAAACGGAATTACCTTATACTGGTAAAGTGGTCTATTGGGATAGTGAAGGCTGTATAATGTCGAGATTTTTCCTCTAACGGAACTTGCCAGTATACCAAGTCCCGTAATATATTTGGCTGGCGGTAGTCGACTAAGAATGCCATCAATATGTGGTAAAGGGTAGGCATCTTTGCGGGTGTTCTTATTAATCTCTCGAGAGTCCAAACATAGTCGTTTTTTGTTCCTTTCTTAACTAAAACGCAATTGCTTCTCCAAGAACTGGACTACAGATCGGTCGGCTAGCAGGGTTGTCAAATGACAAAATTCTTTGCAGAAATATATTCCTAAATAAACATTTTGTTTCAACGCAGGTGTTATAAAGAATTCAATGTTTTTAGTTTGACCGCGGAAAGTCATGGGAATGGTGATTTTTGCGGTGACTCTACAAGATTCATTATTGGCCGTTCGAATATTTCCGGAACATTTTTTCGCCTTGGCGTGGTCTGCGAAAGGCTTAGCAGCTTCATTTCCGAGGCAACTTATTGTAGCCCCTGAATCTAATAAGGCCATGAATTTTTGTTTATCTATACTTAGTTCCACAAATAACCTGCTATCGGAGCTCATAAGGATCGAGGAGACAAGTCTCTTTCGAACACTTTTTACCGTAGCCCAGAATTGTCTTAATCTAATGGTTGACCGTTTTGGTTGGTACTTAAACTCTAGCTTATCTGAGTGTGAACTGCTATCCTCCATATCTATCTCCTCCGTCTGAGTTTGGGCGTCCGCCAAGGACCTCTCAGAGAGAGTTCTTTTGAAATTCGGGTTGGAGGAGTTTTCTTGGAAAACCGCTTCTTTTATCCGGTCGTCGTGGTCGGATGCGACAAACTTGTGTTGGTTTGCGCATCCCGTTAGCGGTTTTCCGACGGGTTACATTTCTTGCACTTTGGCTTAAAAGTATTTTTCGCACCGCAACCATAACAGAAGATGCGGCGTTCCGCAACGCAGTCTTTATTTATTTATTATTTTTTTTCCCTTGTCTGGACGTTGATTTGCAATGACTGCACTATCAAGTGGCCCATGCGACACCAAGCCAAAGCCTGTTGCGCTCGGAACCCAGCAGAACGCAGCCCTCCTCCCGCCCAACCGACCGAGGGGCGCTGCCGCATGACGCGCGGTGCGATTAACCGAACCGGTCGCGAGCATGCAGGAAAGATAGATGTTAGGCTAATATTCGAGGAAAATTAGAGCTAAACATTACTAGACTAGAGCTACTATAGCTAAGCAAGCAAAAATTACCAAAATCAGAAACAAGACAAAACTAAAATGAAACTAACTACGCGAGAGGTAGGCAAGTATAAGAGATTTAAGAAGAGGAAGGGAGTTAGTTGAGGATATAATGTGGTAGAGGGAATTATAATCCGAGCATAAAACCCTAAAGGGTTCGTGTGAGGCATAATTCGATCTACATAGTGGAAGGAACAAAGGAATAAAGTTTCTAGTGGGTCTAATGGGAATCGTAAAGTTTATGCGGCTCAACAAGTCAGGGCTGTCTACATCCCCCTTGCTCATAGGTCTTCAAACCTATGGCCGGTCTTGTCACAACTCCAACGGACAAACCGTTTGCGACGTAGCTCGGAGATATTCTCCTCTTCGAGTGCTTCGTCATCACTTTCAATTTCCAACACTTTGGGTCTAGTAACTCGGCTTCTCTGGACGTTGATATGCAATGACTGCACCATCAAGTGGCCCATGCGACACCAAGCCAAAGCCTGTTGCGCTCGGAACCCAGCAGAACGCAGCCCTCCTCCCGCCCAACCGACCGAGGGGCGCTGCCGCATGACGCGCGGTGCGATTAACCGAACCGGTCGCGAGCATGCAGGAAAGATAGATGTTAGGCTAATATTCGAGGAAAATTAGAGCTAAACATTACTAGACTAGAGCTACTATAGCTAAGCAAGCAAAAATTACCAAAATCAGAAACAAGACAAAACTAAAATGAAACTAACTACGCGAGAGGTAGGCAAGTATAAGAGATTTAAGAAGAGGAAGGGAGTTAGTTGAGGATATAATGTGGTAGAGGGAATTATAATCCGAGCATAAAACCCTAAAGGGTTCGTGTGAGGCATAATTCGATCTACATAGTGGAAGGAACAAAGGAATAAAGTTTCTAGTGGGTCTAATGGGAATCGTAAAGTTTATGCGGCTCAACAAGTCAGGGCTGTCTACATCCCCCTTGATCATAGGTCTTCAAACCTATGGCCGGTCTTGTCACAACTCCAACGGACAAACCGTTTGCGACGTAGCTCGGAGATATTCTCCTCTTCGAGTGCTTCGTCCTCACTCTGAATTTCCGACACATTGGGTCTAGTAACTCGGCTTCGCGCCAGAAAGAATCCTGCATCTTTACAGAAATGTTCATGCTTCTTAACTTCCTCCCTCAACTCACTTCTATTTTGAATTTTTAAATGCAGAAGCTCGTATCGAAGCGCACTTTTGGCATTCCTTTTAAGAATATCGATCAGTTTGAGTTCACTTATGCCGTGTGAAAGTCGAGTCACTAACTTTTCGATTGCTGCCTGAAAATCTTTGAAGGGTTCTCTTTCCTTCTGCTGCCGTTTCCTGTACATTTCCCGTAGGTCAAAATC